GCTCCGGATCTCGCAGACATTAGGAAGAAGGTACCAGAGCAAGGCTCTGTCTCAAAAAAAAAAAAAAAAAAAAAACAGAGCAAAGGCTTGAAGGTGCTGTGGATACATGTTCATGAGACCAGAGTGTACAGTGCAGGATGCAGAACTGGGAGGTGAAATGAGGCTGAAAGAGGATGGGGCCAGATCAAGAAGGCTGTGGGATGCAGGCCCATGAGTCTGGTCCTAGAAGGGGAGCTGGGGAGTGTGGGGGGATCCTCCTTAAGCCCCAGGCCCTGTTCTTGCACAGTGCACAAGACAGAGGAGTGTTCTAGGGCTCTCCCACCATGCTGTGGGGCTATAGTCCCCAACTGTGCCTGGCTCCTTTCAAAGCCCTCAGCAAGCACCTACTAGTCACCAGATACTGGAAGCTAGAACAGATCGCTCCAAAAGTTGAGAGTTTTAACAGGAATAAGGGGGAAAAAAGCAAAGGGTGACTTGATCTAGACGTGAGAAGGCTCCAGAAAGGAGGGATCCTTTGTACCAGGCCTTGAGGGGCTGACAAGTAATATGGCCACCTTACCTAGAGGCTGAACCCACTGGAGCTCTCAGGAGTTGGGAAGTAGGGCAGGGCATGGTCGGGTTTGCTGCTAGAACCACCACTCAGATAGTAGTCAGTAGGGGAACTGACATCTCACAAAGGGGAAATGTGGAGGTCAGGGGATGTGAACTACCTAGAAATTCCAATCAACAGACCCGGGGACTGCTCTTGGAAGAGAGGAGTCAAGAGGAGCACCTGGCCTGGCTGAACATAAGTATCTCTCAGATGGGAACCCAGGAGGAGGAGGCGCAGGCTGAGTTGGAGTGCCAGGAGCCACACGGGCAGGTGTCCAGATGGATCTATGGAGCCAGAGTTCAGAGGAGAGGCCAAAATGGTTTTTAACATTCTCAAAATGTTAACTACATGGGAGAGGGCAGGGACTGTGGAGGAAGCCTCCCCCACCCCATCCCCAACCCAAGACACAAGAGGGAGAAGCCAGATGCTATACATTCCTGGTGTTAGAAGAATTGGGGGGTCATGGTCCCACAGCTTTGAGGAAGGCCCTGGGACCAGCCATGTCATGAGGATGGAGGAGCAGGAAACATGATCCCTGAGGCCCACTGAAGCTGGGTCCTCATGCCCAAAAGTGTGAGCTCCTCCAGGCCTGCTTTACCTCCAGCACACACCTGTGCACCCACCCCCAAGGCTGTAAGACAAGGCCCTGTCCCTGACTTGCTAGGTGAGGTTAGGCAGCAAGGTGGCTCTCTGGCTCTTCACCCATACCCTCTTTTATCCTGCTAAGGAGCAAACCTGGCCCCTCCTCTCTGGGGCAGCTAGGGATCTAGAAAAGTCAGGCTGACACTTAGGACAGCTGTCAGCTGGTCCAGCAATGTTTTCTCCTAGCCTGGGGCCTGAGCTGGTGCTCTAAGCTCACCCTCACGTGTCACCTTTATCAGTGGCTTCTCTGCCTCCACCCACCCTGCAGCACTCCAGCACACCCATTTAAGAAACCACAGCCAGTCACTATGGTTCCAGGGCTGGGACTTTCACTTGACCCCTAGCCTGCCTGGCAGGCACTTTTTTCCCCAGGGCAGGAGACCTGTGTGTTTCCTGAGGGCTTCCTATAATTGGCTGGGCATGACTAGAATTATCTTGGGGACTGTTCCCTGCCTCTTCCATGGGGTTGTCCTCCAGGCCCCATCCAGCCGTGACATTGGCATCTGTGTCTAATGTCCCAGCCTCCCTTCCTCCCTTTGCCTATTCTAACCAAGGGGGCGGACAGGGCCCTAGGCGGACCCCAAAGGGTCTCCTCAAGCTTCAAGTGCCAAGTGGGGTACCCGGACTTTGCCTCAAGGGCTGGGGATCCAGGAAAAGTTCGGAGAGGGATCGAGCCAGTTGTTCCAGCATTCACTCTGGGCTGGACGGGAAAGGGGAAGGGGCTGCTGCGGCAGGCTCGGGCCAGCCCCACCCCCCAAATCTCCCTCCTCCGGGCGGCGGCGCCGGCAGGAGCGGAGGAAGCATTTCCTCATTCCAGAGGCTGCGACTCATGGACGTCGGGGCCGGAGCCCGCCCACTGCGGCCGCCCAGCTGGGGACACGGAGGCCCAGGAAAGGGGGCGCTTTGGCAGACGGGCCTTTCTCCTTCGTCCTCCCCGTCCCGGTCGGCTGAAAGGCGTCCACTCCGGCGACAGCACTGCGCGGGGTCTGGCCTCCGTCCAGGGTCTCCGGAGGCTCTCAGGTCCCCGCCATCCGTTACGTGCCTGGGGGAGAACGCGGCCCTGCTCCGACAGAGGGGGGACCCGAGCCCGGCCGCCCGAGTGCAGGACCCCGGGGTCGACGCTTGGTCAACCTGTTTGGGGTGTCAGTTTGCCACTCTGCGAAGTGGGGCAAGCCAAGCCAAGAACGAGAGGAGCCCGCGCGAGCGCACTCACCACCACGGCGGTGACCGGCTGGCCCGGGATGTAGGACATCTCGACCCCAATCTGGCAACCTAGTACCGCTCAGGGAAGCCGGCAACGAGAATCCCCGCGGCCGCGCCCTCTCTGGTTAACAAAGGCAGCAGGCGCTGCCCGTCCCCTCATGAATAGTTAACGAACCTCTAGCCAATCACTGGCCGGAGCGCTGTTCTGCTTTCGGAAGTCCCGCTGCGTGCGTAGAAAAGCGGGCCGAGAGCGGAGCGTGCCCGCGGCGCAGGCGCGGGGGGCGGGACGGGATCTGGCGCACGCGCAGGCTGGGCCCTCCCGGCAGCCTTCAGCGCAAGATGGCGCCGCGGGAACCTGCATCTGTCTGTCTGAGGGAACGCTAAGTGACAGTGTCTGCCGCCGTGTTCCAGGTAACCGGGCAAGCCTGCCGGGGAGTGCAGACGTGCTGCCGCCTCCCGGCAGGCCAGAGGCCCCTCCCGCCTTCCAGGCGTCTTTTGAAGGTCCGAGACCCAGGAGTGGTGCCAGGAAGCTTCAGGGGGAGGGGGCGGCGTGAACCCAACTCGCCAAGCTCCGGGCGCCACTTGTAACTTGGTTTTCTCCGCAGCTCCGTGAGAAACCTAGAGGCTGAGCCCCGGCGAGTGCGATGGCCGCGGTGGTGGCCAAGCGGGAAGGGCCGCCGTTCATCAGTGAGGCAGCCGTGCGGGGCAACGCCGCCGTCCTGGATTACTGCCGGACCTCAGTGTCAGCGCTGTCGGGGGCCACGGCCGGCATCCTCGGCCTCACCGGCCTCTACGGCTTCATCTTCTACCTGCTTGCCTCCATTCTGCTCTCCCTGCTCCTAATTCTCAAGGCGGGAAGGAGGTGGAACAAATATTTTAAATCACGAAGACCTCTCTTTACAGGAGGGCTCATCGGAGGCCTCTTCACCTACGTCCTGTTCTGGACATTCCTCTATGGCATGGTGCACGTCTACTGAAATGGGGGCAGGGGTGACTTTTTAAAAAAAAAAAAAAAGGTCGGGAGGACTGCTGCCAGATATTAACACCGAGTAGACTTACCTAGTTTTTAAATTGTTGAATATGCTGCCTGTTCTGTAACGTTATAAATAATTTATATCTGAAGACGGAGAGCCTGTATCTTCAGATTAAATGAAGCGTGAGATACTTTGTGGAGTTCTTTCCTACCTTAACGTAGTCTGCCGTTCGTGCAAAATCGCCAAGATTTGACTCCTGGAGAGCAGGGACTGGGCCGTAATCTTGTTATATCTTTTCATTTACACACAGGCCATCCAGAGAGGGACTAGGAGAGAACTGTTAACATTGTTAACATTCTAAGAACTAATAGTAGTTAATATTTATTATTAAGAGCTTCCTATCTGCCAGGCATTGTGCCTTGTACTTTTTATACCCAGTATCTCATTTAATTCTAGCAATAACTTTATGGGGTAAATGTTTTTAACTCCATATTGACGAGGAAGCTGATGTCTCAGAGAGGTTAAATACCTTTGCCAGAGGAGGCACAGCTAGGAAGAGACACAGCCGGGACTGAAATGCAGGTCTCTTCATTGGTTCTTGCTGTATTGGCTGTGTGCAGCATTCCCACCCACTAACCACTACTTCCAGGTATGAATGGTGTCATTTCAGCTCCATTTCACCTCATCAAAGCTAGCAGTCCTTTCCATTAAAAAAAAATTAATTCAAGCTATTTTTTTAGACTATGTTTAGAGATGTTTAAACAGATTAGCCAATTAAGCTAAATTTTGGGCTGGTTTAGGGTGTAAGCACTTGTCTATATGCCAATCGATCCTTTCTTGTTGGGAGTGTTACGTTGGAATAACACACATATGTTTAATTGAGAAATACTGCATTAGAGTTGTAGTAATGAACATACTGCTCATGCAATTTGTAGTCTAACTGGGGAGACCAGCATTACCTAATTTCACAAATGTTTAAATTATGGTAGATGCTATGAAGAGAGTACATAGCAGCCGCAAACATATGTACTAGCCTGGGTTGGAGGGGGTCAAGGAAGGCTTCTATGAGGAAATAACATTATATCTGAGACTGGAAAGTTGAATGAATAACACAGCCAAGTAAGGTGTAGGGAAGGGGTTACTTGCAGGAAAAAGTCTGCTTGAAGGCAGATGGGCAGGAAGGAGTGTGTGGCCTGTATCTGGAGAGTGAGAGAAGAGGCCACAAAATAGGCATGGACAGACACAGTGGGGAGTTTGGCCTTGATCCTAAGAGCAACTAGGGGAAGCCTTTGGAAGTTTCTAGTCAGAAGTGATGTGATCAGATTTGGATTTTTAAAAAAGAATCAAATGCTAAGGGGATCTGAGAGCTTGAATCCAAGTCCCCTTTTCTTTACAGACCTTAGGTAGCCTATGGCCGGTAGTGGAGATGGATGTGGGACCTAGACCTCCTGAATTCCATTTCGGGTTCAGGACCACATGCATGCACACAAAGCCAAGCAGCAGCTGAAGCCACAGCTTTGCCTCCATCTCCCAGTGAGCCCTCTCTGCCCACCACCAAAGATCCTCACATTCATGGTTTGCACACCCCAGTCCTCTCTCGGGCTTCCCTGAGTGGGAAGGGAGGGTTCATGCCTCATGCAGAAAGTGGCAGTTGGAGGGGATCCTACTGCTGGAAGAGGAGGGAAAAGGAAGAGGGATAAGTGAGCTGATTTACTTAACCATTTCCCTATTGTTGAGCAGTAAGTTTGTTTGAGATGTTCATTATTATAAAAAAAATACTGTAACAAATGTCTTCATGTTTATGTCATTTTGAGAGAATTTAATAAGCTCCTAGGGCAGAGGATAAAAACTTGATTCCAAATGCTTTCCAAGCTTTATCAGATTATACTTGTTGAATGAAAAGTACCGGTTTTATCAGTGCCTTCCTAGTCTTTAATTTTATTTTAATGTTTGCTCATTTAAAGAGTTTCCATGCTTTCACTGGAATTTCTTTGCAAGATAACAAGGAACATAATATATTGCTTGCTAATTGTTTCTTGTGTCTGCCTCTTTTGGTCTCGCCTTCTCTTTACATTTTCCCCTAAAACACAGGGCAACCATGAAGACCTGAAGGGAAAAAAATCAGGACACATACGAAATTGACACCTTTTATTGTTTTATGACGAAACAAAAGTGTCAGAGAACACATACATTGGGCAGGTCCCAGGAAGTGCCATCTTCACCTCTTTAATTGTGTGTACTGGCCTAAGGGGACACAGCTGGCAGAAAGGTGCTGGGTTCTTGGATCCATAGGAAAGTATGCTCTGAGGAAAGACATCATTGGAGGGAGGAGGTGGACTGAAACCGAGTGGAGTCCTTTTCCAGACACATAGGATGCCATTCCAAGTGGGGTGATTTAGGAACTCTATGAGGCACTGTAGTCCTCAGCTGAGATGCTCAAGGACATCTGGAGGAAGTAAATTCCCCCTTTTCGACTGGTTCCCCAGTGGGGCAACCAGCCACTGAGAAAGGAAGAACTGATGGGGGACAGGGCAAAAAGACAGCTGTGACTGGTCAATCCTGATGACGCCAGCATCAGGAGTCAGGGGTACTTGCTCTTTCATGGCTGGTCCTTGTGATGTCACATTAATAGCACCCAATGTACAAATTTCCCGTTGGCCAGCATCGTGGTACTCCCAAAGGCATGAGATAGCTCAGTACTAGGTGGATGCGTTTAGGCTAGGGCCTGAACATAGCGTAGGCAATTCATGTAATCCTGACTATCAGGACAGAAAGGAGTTCCTGAGAGGCTGGCACTCACCTTTGCAGTGAGCAACCAGTGCCCAGAGCGAAAAGGGCTTTCCCAGTTTGAAAGGAGCTCAAGGTCCTCCTTCACTTCTCCCTATTTAAAAGCCACTTTCCATAAGATTGATCAGCCTCCCACTCTTGCACCGAGATAATGTAGAAGAAAGGTGGGGAGCAGGGGCTGGCAGAAAGCAAGGAAACTTCAGCAGAGTGTGCCACAGTGTCCAGAAGCTGTAATGGATCACTGGTTTTTCTGGGCGTGGGACCCCTGACGTGCAGTAGGGAGGCCACGTGGAAGGTTTTGCTGGCCTTGAAGAAACAATTAGGTTGAATAAGTCCTCTAAGGAAGTAAAGTTTAATGGGGCAACCCTTACAATTAAAGTCGACTTGATTTTAAAAAACGCCTCACAAAACCCGCTCTGGTCTGCTGACTTCATCCACTTCCTCGGCTGCGTCTTCCCATGTCAAAGCGTCTCCACACGTGTGGTTTCTTCACCTGGAATGCTTCTCCCTGTCACCTAGTTAGGCTACCATAACCTTTCCAATTTCGACACATACATCACTTCCTTGGGGAAACTTCTGGCTACTTCTGGTTGAACTCTCAAACACCCTATCCAGTGATGACTGGTGTGATCACTTGATTAAGATTCAATTCCCCCCAGACTGGAAGCACACAAGGGCAGGGACGGTCGTGTCGCTCGTCACTGTATCACTAGCGTTTAGCCCAACACCTGACACATCATAGGTACTCAATAAATATTTACTGACTGAATCAATAACTGTAGGAAGACATTTCCATTCCAATATAAAACAAATAGTACAACTGTCCCCAGATTATATGGCTGCTGCCAAGCCATTTCAAAATCAGGTTAAAAGAATCAGACCAATCCCTAAGCAGCCATGACCCCTGCCTTTTTTGCTTCCTCCAAAACATAAACGTAACATGCTAGATTATAAATCCAAGGGTTTGATTTAGTGAGGAAATGAAACACTTCAGTGGATAACCCGGATTTTTCACTTTCTATTCAGAGAGCAGGTTGGACTTGTTGATGGGCTCCCAGACAGCCCGAGGTGAGGGAGCCGCTTGCTCCAGAAGGCCTCCTGTCCTGGCGTCCGTGCCCCTCTGCCCCAGCCGCAGCCTCAGCAGAGACCTGCCAGCCCCTTCTGGCAACCTTCTCCAAAGGCCTCAGTGGAAGGATGCTCACTGCCCCCTTCTGTGTGCAGAGAAGCCCTTCCAAAGAGGACGCTCCCAGGGTGTATCCAGGGAGCTGGGGCTGGTTGAGTCGGAGCAGCCCTTGAGGACTGTCTGCTGGGCCGTTCATCACAACAGTGAATGACGAGCTCTAGGTTTCTCACCTTGGGTCTACATGGGGGTGACCGAGATACAGTGGGATAAGGAGAAGAGTGCTAGCGGGCTCCCCACTCCCAATACTGAAGTCTATTTCACATCCGTTTCTGACAGAGGAGACTCTGTCTTACGTGTAGGCATCAGAAAAAGTTCATTTCCTGAGCGAGTGTGCGAGTAACCCAGTGGATTCCCGGCAAAATAAGGGAGCCTCTTGGAATCGCACCGGTTGCCTCCAGAGAGCAGGGCTGAGAGGGTCGCTTTTCACTGTCTATTCTTTTGCACCTTTTAAATCATGTAAGTATTACCTAGTCAAAATGTTTTAATTTAAGTGAATGGAGCATAATGTTGCTTTCAGGGTGGGGGAGGACTCCTCTTGACCTCCAGGTAGCATGTGTGTAAGTCTGACCTAGAAATTGGCTCCACCCACCAAAGCCGGCCTTTTTTCCCCTCAGAACCAGGGCTTCTCGAACGTTACTGTGCACGCAAATCACCTCAGAATCTTGTGGAAATGCAGGTTCTGATTTAGTAGGACAAGGAAGGGGCCAAGACTCTGCATTTCTGACAGACTCCCGGGTGACACATGCGATGCTGCTGGCCCGTGGACCCCACTTTGAATAGCAAGGCTCTGTGGCAGCCGAGGGAGGGAGCAACTGTGAGTTCTGCAGGGGGGTGGGCACGGGTCGGGGGAGTGAGGGCCCCCAACAACTGTTTGCGTCTGCTGCGTGAGCACCATCTCTAGTACTTCAGACCAAGCCTCTGAGGGGAGAGGCTGGGAGCCCAGAGGGGACATCTAGCCACACAACAGCAAGAGACAAACCACACCGGCAAATGCATCGCCCACATGGGCAAGTGGATATTCCCAGAGCTTCCCAGGATAGGGGCAGTCAGAATGGAGACTGAGCAGCAGCCACCCTGCCTCTCCTTCTCCCTCTTACCTAGAAGCCCTTGGAGTTGGTCTCTCCCTTAAGAGCCAGCTGCCTTTCCTGGTTGCCTCCTTGGCCTCTTTTAAATTTTATCCCTGGGGCCAGGGCCAAATGTCCCCTTGGATGTGGTCCAAGGGCTTTCTCTGAGCAGCTGTCATTTACCACAGGGATCCGTGAAACGCAGCTAGAGGTAGGCCAGGTGCAGGCCTGGCTGCGATGTCTCGGCTGGCCTTGGAGGAGTTACACACGTGCCCCCTTCCCCGAGGGCAGGTCAGCATCTCACTTCAGCGTCTCTTGGCTAGCGCGCAGCACGCAGCATGCATCGGTAAATGTTTACTGCCTGTATGAATGAATGGATGTCCAGCCAGGTTCTCAGAGACAATCAAAACACTCTCGTTCCACTCAGGCCTTGGCCTGCCCCCCTTCCCTGGATGCCTGCTCCAGGACCTCCTCTTCTAGATCTGAGCCACTCTGGCCATTGGGCGGCTCCCCTCACGTGACAAAAAGCTTGTAGCAAGATCCCAAAGTGCAGGTGAGATGGCTGTGCCTGGAAGCCCCTGTCTCACGCAGGCACAAAGACACCTCTTCCCAGTTCAGAGCTGTGGGTGGTTCAGGCCCCGACGTCGTCACCAAATCAGTTCTCAGCCAACAGCTCTGGCTACGTCTCCACTGTCTGCAGGGTCTGCAGCTGCTCCACATTCACCGGGTGGCCAGACCTGTGGGGAGGGGGAGGGGTGCACACAGAGGGCAGAAAGGACTGTCGGAAGCCATTCAGAGAGAGGCGCCATCTGTCAGGGCTCCTGCTGCAGCCCGAACACATGGAGATGCTCGGGCAGAGGCCTCCGGAGCCACCCAGCAATGAGCACATGGCAGCCGGTGCCTAGGCCCGTGGGTGCAGAACCTCCCACAGCAGCAGGCAAGGCTAAGCCAAGACAAGCAAGGCGGCGGTGCTTCCCGCCTGCAGGGCATGGAGTTCAGGTGAGTGCTCAGGAAGGGACAGTAGTTCAGGAAGCACCAGAGGGCTTCTGGGCTCTGGGCCTGCCCCATCCGGATCCCCTAGCCTCTCTCTCTCCTCAGTCCTTTCCTGCCCAGGCCCAGCTCCCAGCCGGTCCCTGAGTCAGCAAGGAATGAAAGCCCGGCTGGAGGAAAGGCCGCCCCAGGCCGGTGAACATGCCGGGACATGGTTTACAAGAGGAGAGTCACAGAACCCTAGCCTGACCGAGCAGGCGGGGGCCCTGCGTCCAGCCCCCACTGGGAAGGGGGAAAAAAGGGACAGCAAGGTCTAGAAAGGGCCAGGCACCTGCTCAAAGGCACACACCGAGGCAGAAGCAGAGCAGGCCTGAAGCAGGCCTCCCGACTCAGCCAGGGCTACGTCTGCAGAAAAGGCCAGGCTGCCCAGGGCGTCTGGGCCACGCCCCAGGGAAGGGCAGCCTGAGGGCCACCTGGCAGCACAGCCACCACCCTCCTGAGGCTGGGGCACATAGAAGAGGGACTTAGGGGACTGACCTGATGGGAGGTGGGGGAAGGGGACTTGATAAGGCAGAACTCATTGGAGAAAAACTGGATTCTAGAGACACACAGCCTGGATTCAATCCTGGTTCTGCCATTTATGAGCTGTGTGACTTGAGCAAGTTCCTTACCCTTGCTGTGCCTCATATTTCTCATTAGAAAAATAGGTCCTATCAGCGCCCACCTCATCAAGTCGCTTAAATGAGCTCAGAGGCATGCCGGCAGAGACTAAGTGCCATAGCAATGAGAGAAGCAGTGTACCTGGACGTGGGGACGGCACAGCAAGTGCACTCGGTGTAGATGGCTATCCCGGGGCGTGGGAGCTGACGGGGATGATGGGGGACAAAGCGCCACCAGATCCCCTCCCCAAAGAGGCTAGCTTAGACACGCCCTTGTGGGCCTGGACGTCCCGTCTGTGGCCAGGTCACCCCGGGGCAGAGCGGCCCACTGGGACTGCGGGACATGAGGTGCCAGAGCAGGGACCCCTCTCTGCAGCAGCCCCTACCTGCTGGGCTCCAGGCTCTGCGGGCACACACAGCCATTCCCCTTCCGGACGCTGCTTCCGTGCTGTGCCCTGGGCTGCTCCAGCTGCTCCTGAAGCCCTGGCCCGGAGGCAGGCTGCTCTGACAGCCCCGTGCCAGGCTCCTCCTCCTCCTCGGCCTCCAGGACATTGTCTGGAGGATATGATCTGTTAACAGGATATAATCTGTTAACCTGGGACGGCCCTGCAGGGCGCCGCCCTGGTTCCTCCAGCAGCTCAGTCTGGGCCAGGGCTGTGGCCAGTGTCAAGCCTGGGGGCGTCCCTGTAACCCAGGGCTGGGATCCAGGCTTGGCTGGGTTCATTAAGGCGAATGACACAGGCAGGCCCTGACCCGCTGCCCCAGGCCGGGGTGGGCTAAAGGAGTGCCGAATTCCCCAGCCTTTTATTATTATTATTATTGTTTCCCCACTTCAATAAGCTGGTCTACCAGTGCCCCACTCTGACCCCATTCCTCCAGAAAGCCAGAGCCCCATCCTTCCTGCCCACCTACAGACATCCGGGCTCCCCACTCATACTGTGCTCTGCTGCTCTGAACACACACGCACACCCAAGAGACCCTGGAAAGAGGCCCCTGTAGTGGAAAAAGATCCGTTTTTCCTCCCTTTACTACCCAGCTCCCCTCAACCCCAGCCCACCAGGATCCCCGCGTCCGAGGACCCTGAAGCAGACTACAGGAGACACCACATGTCAGCCAACTCTCTTTTCTTCCAGACAGAGACACCAAGGCCCGAGAAGGCCTGGGGCTTGTCCACAACCACACGGGGCGAGGGTGGCAGAGCCTGTGCATGGGTCTCCTGCCCCGCAGCCCCAGTGGCCTCTCCTTCCACCGGCTGCTCTGAGGCTCAGTCCAGTTCTGTAGAGCGTGTCCTAGGACATTCCACCTCCCCGCCCTTCAGCCCCTGCCACACACTCCAAATGCCAATATCAAATTGGGGTAAAGGTTCTCAGCCGGGGGTCCCCTTGGCCACTGGGGAGGAAGCAGGACTGACCTCACTTCCTCGTACTTCTTGTCACGGTAAAACTCGCTCTTTTTGATTAAGTAGATGAGTACCAGGTCGCAGAAGAAAGCACCCTGCAAAAGAGTTGGGGTCCCTGACTCAGAATCCTAGACTTCGGGGGAGCACCAGCCACCCTCCGCACTTCACACCGTTTGATCCTGCAAAAGCCTGTGAGGGGGCGTCACCATCCCCATCTAATAGGTGAGAGAACTAGGCTCAGAAAGGGGCACCTTGTCCGAGCCCAGAAAACTGGGCCCTGGTACAGCCACAGCTAGCCTGGAGCACCACCGAGCCCGTAGGCCAAGCGCCCTCCCCAGCCCATCCAGTTGTCCCTGAGCACCCACCATGAGCCTAGGGCTATGCTGGGGTGCAGGGAGGACACGGACAAGAGAGACCCCTGGGGACCCTCCCTCTGGCACAGGGGACAAGAATGTAAATTATGACCCAGTGATGTGTCCTATGATGGGGAGGGGAGCAGGAGCAGAGAGAAGACAGGATTTTACTCAGCCCGTGGAGGGACACCTGGGCTGAGTCTTGAGGGCTGAATAGGAGTTTATACAAGGCACAGAAAGCCTGGGGGAGGAACAAGCTTGTCATGCGTGGGAAATGCACAGGACTTGTCGGGGAAGAGCGAGAGAGCCTTCTGGAGAGGTGGCTGGAGACCAGTCTGGAAAGCGCCTTAGAAAGTTTCCAAAGCATTTGTCCTCCAGGTAAGAGGCAGGAACTACGGGGAGAACTGCAGCATTGCAGAAAGATCCCCCTGGTGGCCAGTGTGGGATGGATCGGAGAGGTTCTGAACCGAACCAGCAAGGACACTACGGCAGCAGTCAAGGGAATGCAGTGAGGTCTGAGCCACCCCAGCTGGGATCCGCTAGCACCGGAATGCTTGCCCCTCGGACCAGAGCAGGTGGTACAAATGCCCATCTCCTCCGCCCGAGGGTGATGCCACCCACAGCCCGGGGTGGAATGGGGTGGGAGGAACCCTGAATGACTGAGGAGGAGGGTGGGGGTGGGGAGGAGGTGATGGGTGGGCCATCCTGGTCCTCTGCCCTAGACGCTGGCATCCCCAGATGCCAAAATGTTATTTGTCAATTTCCTGTTCCACAGAGAACAGCCCCCACCCCAGCCTCTACCACCCTCTTCCCCGCACCATTACCTTCCTCCAACAGGCCTGTGCTTCAGATGGTCTGTGTTCTGATTTTACGCACGTCACAAGCAAATGATGCCTGAAGACCGGCCCCTCTCTAAGAAGTTACGTGTGCAAACACCCAGGGTCCCTGACAATGACTGTCTGCAGTTAGGAAGAAGCCATTTGAGGCTCACTTTTACCAACCACCTCTCAGGAGCATGGCCTCCGAGTCCTGTGACAGGACATAGTTTTCCTGGCCTCATAAAAAGCCAATCCTAGGGCCTGACAGAATCCTCCAGTGGGGTTGTTTGAGTTGCACAGAGGCATGAGGGAAGAAGCTACCGGAAACCTTGGAAAGGGACTTACTGGG